GCAATGGGGGGGGCCTATGAGGGGCTCTAGGGGGCTATGGAGGGGTTGGGGGGCGCTGTGGGGCCAGGCTGGGCTTTAAGGGGGGCAATGGGGCTGAGCTGGGTCCATTGTGTGCTATGGGGGGGGGGGGGGGGGGGGTTATGGGGCTGGCTAGGGAGCTATGGGGCGCTTGGGGGGGAACCATGACCCCCCCTTTCCCCCCCCCCAGGTCCCTGCTATGGGTCCCTCCAAGCTCCGCCCCCCAGCACGTGGCAGCCACCAAGGGGTGCATTGAGGTCATGAGGTGGGGGGGGCACCTATGGGGGGGTCCAATGGGATTGGGGGGGTCCTGGAGGGGATCCAATGGGATTGAGGGGGGCCTGGAGGGGATCCAATGGGATTGGAGGGGTCCTGGAGGGGATCCAATGGGATCGGGGGGGTCCTGGAAGGGATCCAATGGGATTGAGGGGGGTCCTGGAAGGGATCCAATGGGATTGAGGGGGGTCCTGGAAGGGAACCAATGGGATTGAGGGGGTCCTGGAAGGGATCCAATGGGATTGGGGGGGTCCTGGAAGGGATCCAATGGGATTGGGGGGGGTCCTGGAAGGGAACCAATGGGATGGGGGGGGTCCTGGAGGGGATCCAACGGGATCGGGCGGGTCCTAGAGGGGATCCAATGGGATTGGGGGGGCCCTGGAAGGGATCCAATGGGATTGGGGGGGGTCCTGGAGGGGATCCAATGGGATTGGGGGGGCTCCTGGAAGGGATCCAATGGGATTGGGGGGGTCCTGGAGGGGATCCAATGGGATTGGGGGTCCTTTTGGGGGGGGGGGGGGGGGGATCCCCAACCTCTGCCCCCCCCAGGTTGCTGCTGCAGGACGGGGGGGGCTGGCGGGGGGTGCAGGGGGCCTGGTGGGTGCTGGCGGAGCAGCTCTGCGAGGGGGCCCCCCCCCGGCGTGTGGTGAGCAATGGGGGTCGCTATAGGGGTCTATGGGGGACTATGGGGGGTCTATAGGGGTCTATAGGGGTCTATATGGGTCTATGGGGGACTATGGGGGTCTATGGGGGACTATGGGGGGTCTATAGGGGTCTATGGGGCTCTATGGGGGACTATGGGGGTCTATGGGGGGTCTATAGGGGGTCTATGGGGAGTCTATAGGGGTCTATGGGGCTCTATGGGGGACTATGGGGGTCTATGGGGGGTCTATAGGGGTCTATCGGGGGTCTATAGGGGGTCTATGGGGGTATATAGGGGTCTATGGGGGTCTATAGGGGGTCTATAGGGGGTCTATAGGGGTCTATGGGGGGTCTATGGGGGGCTATAGGGGGTCTATAGGGGTCTATAGGGGGTCTATGGGGGGTCTATAGGGGGTCTATAGGGGGTCTATGGGGGTCTATGGGGGTCTATGGGGGTCTATAGGGGGTCTACAGGGGTCTATGGGAGAATATAGGGGTCTATAGGGGGTGTATGGGGGTCTATGGGGGGCTATAGGGGTCTATGGGGCTCTATGGGGGTCTATAGGGGGTCTATAGGGGGTCTATGGGGGTCTATAATGGATCTATAGGGGTCTATAGGGGTCTGTAGGGGGTCTATAGGGGGTCTATGGGGGGCTATGGGGGTCTATGGGGGTCTATAGGGGCCTATAGGGGGTCTATGGGGGTCTATAGGGGTCTGTAGGGGGTCTATGGGGGTCTATAGGGGTCTATACGGGGTCTATGGGAGAATATAGGGGTCTATAGGGGGTCTATGGGGGTCTATGGGGGGTCTATAGGGGTCTATGGGGGGTCTATGGGGGTCTATAGGGGTCTATACTGGGTCTATAGGGGGTCTATGGGGGTCTATAGGGGTCTATGGGGGTCTATAGGGGGTCTATAGAAGTCTACAGGGGTCTATGGGAGAATATAGGGGTCTATAGGGGGTCTATGGGGGTCTATGGGGGGTCTATAGGGGTCTATGGGGGGTCTATGGGGGTCTATGGGGGAGTATAGGGGTCTATAGGGGTCTATGGGGCTCTATGGGGGACTATGGGGGTCTATGGGGGGTCTATAAGGGGTCTATGGGGGGTCTATAGGGGTCTATGGGAGAATATAGGGGTCTATAGGGGGTCTATAGGGGTCTATGGGGGTCTATATGGGTCTATAGGGGGTCTATGGGGGTTCTATAGGGGTCTATAGGGGTCTATAGGGGGTGTATAGGGGTCTACAGGGCCTGTATAGCGGTCTATACGGGGGTCCATGGGGGGTAGAGTCTATAGGGGATCTATACAGGGGTCTATGGGGGACTATAGGGTCTATAGGGGGTCTATAGGCGCCTATAGGGGGTCTATGGGGGTCCTCTAGGGGGTCTATATGGGGGTCTATGGGGGACTATAGGGGTCTGTAGGGGTCTATAGGAGGTCTATTGGAGTCTACAGGGGCTGTATAGGGGTCTATAGGGGGTCTGTAGGGGTCTGTAGGGGGTCTATAGGGGGTCTATGCAGGTTCAATAGGGGTCTATGAGGGGTCTATATGGGTTTAAAGGGGCTGTATAGGGGTCTATAGGGGGTCTATAGGGAGTCTATGGGAGGCCTATGGGGGGTCTGTAGGGGGTCTATAGGGGTCTACAGGGGCTGTATAGGGGTCTATAGAGGGTCTATAGGGGGTCTATAGGGGTCTACAGAGGCTGTATAGGGGTCTATAGGGTGTCTATAGGGGTCTATAGGGAGTCTATATAGGGATCTATAGGGGGACTATAGGGGTCTACAGGGGCTGTATAGGAGATTATAGGGTGTCTATAAAGATCTATAGGGAGTCTATATAGGGGTCTATAGGGGTCTATAGGGGTCTACAAGGGCTGTATAGGGGTCTATAGGGTGTCTATAGGGGTCTATAGGGAGTCTATATAGGGGTCTATGGGTGGTCTATGGGGGGTCTATAGGGGCTCTATAGGGGCCTACAGGGGCTGTATAGGGATCTATAGGGCTCTATAGGGGGTCTATATAGGGGTCTATAGGGGTCTATAGGAGTCTCTGGGGGTCTATTGGGGCTTGGGGGGTGTCTAAAGGGGTCTGTGGGGACCCAGGGGTCCCTATAGGGGGACTGGGGGGGTTTAGTGGATCTGGGGGGAGTCCCAGGGGGGCTGGGGGATCTATGGGGTCTCTATAGGGGTCTATAGGGGTCTGGGGGCAGGCTCAGGTGGCTCTGTAGGGGGTCTATAGGGGGTCTATGTGGGGTCTATGGGGGTCTATGGGGGTCTATGGGGTCTATGGGGGTCTATGAGGTCTATAGGGTCTATGTGGGGTCTATGGGGGTCTATGGGGTCTATAGGGTCTAGGGGGGTCTATGGGGGTCTATGGGGGTCTATGGGGGTCTATAGGGTCTATGTGGGGTCTATGGGGGTCTATGGGGGTCTATAGGGTCTAGGGGGGTCTATGGGGGTCTATGGGGGTCTATGGGGGTCTATAGGGTCTATGTGGGGTCTATGGGGGTCTATGGGGGTCTACAGGGTCTATGTGGGGTCTATAGGGTCTATGGGGGTCTATGGGGGGTCTATGGGGGTCTGTGGGGGTCTATGTGGGGTATGTGGGAGTCTATGGGGGTCTATAGGGTCTATGTGGGGTCTATGGGGGTCTATAGGGTCTATGGGGGTCTATGGGGGTCTATGGGGGTCTATGGGGGTCTATAGGGTCTATGTGGGGTCTATGGGGGTCTATGGGGGTCTATGGGGGTCTATGGGGGTCTACAGGCTCTTGGAGGGGCTCAGGGGTCTCTATAGGGGCTCTGAGGGGGGGGTCCCCAATTCTGCCCCCCCAGGGCGCTGCCAACTCGGCTGAGGAGGAGCGGCTGCTGCAGGAGGCACAGGTGGGACCCCAAATCCCCCCCATTGACCCCCAAATCCCCCCCATTGACCCCAAATCCCCCCCATTGACCCCAAATCCCCCCCATTGACCCCAAATACCCCCCATGGACCCCAAATACCCCCCATTGACCCCCAAATACCCCCCATTGACCCCCAAATACCCCCATGGACCCCAAATACCCCCCATTGACCCCCAAATACCCCCCATGGACCCCAAATACCCCCCATTGACCCCCAAATACCCCCCATTGACCCCCAAATACCCCCATGGACCCCAAATACCCCCCATTGACCCCCAAATACCCCCCATGGACCCCAAATACCCCCATTGACCCCAAATACCCCCCATGGACCCCAAATACCCCCCATTGACCCCAAATACCCCCATGGACCCCAAATACCCCCCATTGACCCCAAATACCCCCCATTGACCCCCAAATACCCCCCATGGACCCCAAATACCCCCCATTGACCCCCAAATACCAAAGTAAACCCCATTGACCCCCAAATACCCCTCATTGACCCCAAATACCCCTCATTGACCCCAAATACCCCCCATTGACCCCAAATACCCCGGTGGGGGGGGGGGGGGGTAACTTTGGGGTCCTGACCCCCCTTTCCCCCCCTCCCCCAGCAGGAGCCGGAAGTTGCCCCTCCCCCCCGTGCCCCGGACCCCCATGGAGCCCCCCCCCGCTCTGTGGGGGGAAGCATCGCAGGTGACCCTCCCCCCAACCCCCCCTATAGCCCCTCCCCCCCCCCCATAGCCCCTCCCCTTGACCCCATGTGCACCACCCCCCCCCCCCCCCTTTCCCCCCCAGGATCTATGGGGCCCGCAGGGGCCGGGTCAAGGAGCGCCTCAGGCCCCTCCCCCCACCCCCGGAGGAAGCCCCGCCCCCATCAGGTGAGACCACGCCCCCTTTGTGGGGGGGGCCCATAAGGAAGAGGGGGGGGCTATGGGAGGGAATGGGGGTCACAGCCCCTCACCCCCCTCTCCTCCCCCCCCCCCCCCCAAATAGCTCCGCCCTCTCCAACCAAGGTAAGGCTCCACCCCCTTCCCTTTTAACCACGCCCCTCCTGCCTTATATGGGCAAAGGGGCGGGGCTTCGCCGCTGACGCCCCTGCCAGCCCCGCCCCCCCGCGGGGCTCTATAGGACGGGCAGTTTGGGGGCGCTGCCCCCCCCCGCCCCGCCCCCCCCGGCCCTGCGGCGCTGTTGCTCCTCCCCCCGCCTGGACGCCCCGCCCCCGGTGAGTGAGGCCACGCCCCCCCCCCCCCCAAGCCACGCCCCTTCCCGTTCCCCAGGCTCTACCCCCTATGTTTCCATTGGCCACGCCCCCTTCCCCCTCCATTTGGCTCCGCCCCCTTTTGGCTCCACCCCCTCTGGGATCTCCCCGCTCCCTTCCAATTGGCTCTGAGCCCTCATTGGGCTCCACCCCAGTGGCTCGGCCCCATTGGCTCCGCCCCCATCTGGGCTCCACCCCCTTTGGGCTCCATCCCCATTGGTTCATTCTCTGTGTCCCCCCAACGTGATTGGCTCTGCCCCCTCATTGTGCTTCACTCTCATTGGCTCCACCCTCCTTTGGACTCCGCCCCCTTTGGGCCCCATCCCCATTGGCTCATTCTGCTCTGTGCCCCCCCCCCACCTGTGATTGGCTCTGCGCCTTCATTGGCCTCTGCCCCCGGTTGGCCCCGCCCCTCTGATGGCCCCACCCACTTCCCCTCTAAGCAACTCCCCTTTGACCACGCCCCCTTCCCGCCTGGCCCCGCCCCCTTCATCACCAGGACATGCGGGAGCTGCTGCAGCAGCGCCGCTGCAGTCTGATTGGCTCCAGCTCAGCCAATCAGAGCCCAGCCTCGGAGCCAGCCAATCAGGACCAAGAGTGCGCATCAGCTGACCCGGTAGGAGGCTCCTCCCCCCTGTTATTAATGAGGGGGGAGGGGGCTTGGGGTGGGGGAGGGGCTTGGGGTGGGGGAGGGGCGTGGACACGCTTTGACCCCTCCCCCCCCTCCCCCCGCAGGCCTTGGACCCGCCCCTGAGCCCCGCCCCCCGCCGGGCCCCGTCCCCCACGTGAGTCCTGGGGGGGAGGGGCGGGTGTGGGGCTGGGATGTGTGGGGCTGAGCCCCGCCTCCAAACCCCCATGGCCACACCCCCCCCCCCCAGGCCACGCCCCCCTCGGGACGACCCCCACCGCAAGGCCCGGACCCGGCTGATGCGGCGGAGACCGACACAGGTACCGCTATGGGGCACGGACCCATAAGTGACCACTGCTGTGGGGCACGGACCCATAAGTGACCCCTGCTGTGGGGCACGGACCCGTAAGTGACCCCTGCTGTGGGGCACAGACCCATAAGTGACCCCTGCTGTGGGGCACGGACCCATAAGTGACCCCTGCTGTGGGGCACGGACCCATAAGTGACCACTGCTGTGGGGCACGGACCCGTAAGTGACCCCTGCTGTGGGGCACGGACCCATAAGTGACCCCTGATGTGGGGCACGGACCCGTAAGTGACCCCTGCTGTGGGGCACGGACCCATAAGTGACCCCTGCTGTGGGGCACGGACCCGTAAGTGACCCCTGATGTGGGGCATGGACCCATAAGTGACCCCTGATGTGGGGCACGGACCCGTAAGTGACCCCTGATGTGGGGCATGGACCCGTAAGTGACCCCTGATGTGGGGCACGGACCCGTAAGTGACCCTTGCTATGGGGCACGGACCCGTAAGTGACCCCTGCTGTTGGGCATGGACCCATAAGTGACCCCTGATGTGGGACATGGACCCATAAGTGACCCCTGCCATGAAACACGGACCCATAAGTGAATAATTGACATTCGTTATGGGGCACGGGCACATAAGTGACCCCTGCTATGAATCAGGGACCCATAAGTGAATAATTGACATACGCTATGGGGCACGGACCCATAAGTGACCCCTGCTGTGGGGCACGGACCCATACGTGACCCCTGCTGTGGGGCATGGACCCATAAGTGACCCCTGCCTATGAAACATGGACCCATAAGTGAATAATTGACATACGCTATGGGGCAGGGACCCATAAGTGACCCCTGCTGTTGGGCATGGACCCATAAGTGACCCCTGATGTGGGGCATGGACCCATAAGTGACCCTTGCTATGAAACATGGACCCATAAGTGAATAATTGACATACGCTATGGGGCACGGACCCATAAGTGACCCCTGCTGTGGGGCACGGACCCATACGTGACCCCTGCTGTGGGGCATGGACCCATAAGTGACCCCTGCCTATGAAACATGGGACCCATAAGTGAATAATTGACATACGCTATGGGGCAGGGACCCATAAGTGACCCCTGCTGTGGGGCGTGGACCCATAAGTGACCCCTGCTATGAATCAGGGACCCATAAGTGAATAATTGACAATCAGTATGGGGCACGGACCCATAAGTGACCCCTGCTATGAAACATGGACCCATAAGTGAATAATTGACATTCGCTGTGGGGCACGGACCCATAAGTGACCCCTGGTGTGGGTCATGGACTCAGTAGTGACTCCCTTGCTTGGACCTGTACGTGGCCCATGCTATGGGGCATGGGCCTATGAGTGGCCCCTGCTGTAGGGCAGTGACCCATAAGTGACCTGCGCTATGGGGCACAGACCTATAAGTGAATAATTGACGTTCGCTATGGGGCACGAACCCACATGTGACACCTGTTATGGGGCACGGACCCATAAGTGAATAATTGACCTTCGCTATGGGGCACGGACCCATACGTGACACCTGTTATGGGGCATGGACCCATAAGTGAATAATTGACATTCACTATGGGGCACGGACCCATAAGTGAATAATTGACCTTCGCTATGGGGCACGGACCCATAAGTGAATAATTGACCTTCGCTATGGGGCACGGACCCATAAGTGAATAATTGACATTTGCTATGGGGCACGGACCCATAAGTGACTCCCACTGTGGGTCTGGGCCCCCCCCCCCAGGGAGTGACGCTGTCGCAGCTGCGTGAGGCGGAGCACGTGATTGGCCGCGGTGGTGAGGGACGGGCTGTGGAGGAGCCAATCAGAGAGGAGCAGAGGCGGGACCAGGAGGAGGAGGGGGCTGAGATGCCCCCACATTCGATTATTGGCAGGTGGGGGGGGGGAGGGGGGGAGGGGCTTGGGGATGCCCCTCCCCCATTGGCTCCCCCCCCATAAGTGAATAATTGACATACGCTATGGGGCAGGGACCCATAAGTGACCCCTGCTGTTGGGCATGGACCCATAAGTGACCCCTGATGTGGGGCATGGACCCATAAGTGACCCTTGCTATGAAACATGGACCCATAAGTGAATAATTGACATACGCTATGGGGCACGGACCCATAAGTTGACCCCTGCTGTGGGGCACGGACCCATACGTGACCCCTGCTGTGGGGCATGGACCCATAAGTGACCCCTGCCTATGAAACATGGACCCATAAGTGAATAATTGACATACGCTATGGGGCAGGGACCCATAAGTGACCCCTGCTGTGGGGCGTGGACCCATAAGTGACCCCTGCTATGAATCAGGGACCCATAAGTGAATAATTGACAATCAGTATGGGGCACGGACCCATAAGTGACCCCTGCTATGAAACATGGACCCATAAGTGAATAATTGACATTCGCTGTGGGGCACGGACCCATAAGTGACCCCTGGTGTGGGTCATGGACTCAGTAGTGACTCCCTTGCTTGGACCTGTACGTGGCCCATGCTATGGGGCATGGGCCTATGAGTGGCCCCTGCTGTAGGGCAGTGACCCATAAGTGACCTGCGCTATGGGCACAGACCTATAAGTGAATAATTGACGTTCGCTATGGGGCACGAACCCACATGTGACACCTGTTATGGGGCACGGACCCATAAGTGAATAATTGACCTTCGCTATGGGGCACGGACCCATACGTGACACCTGTTATGGGGCATGGACCCATAAGTGAATAATTGACATTCACTATGGGGCACGGACCCATAAGTGAATAATTGACCTTCGCTATGGGGCACGGACCCATAAGTGAATAATTGACCTTCGCTATGGGGCACGGACCCATAAGTGAATAATTGACATTTGCTATGGGGCACGGACCCATAAGTGACTCCCACTGTGGGTCTGGGCCCCCCCCCCAGGGAGTGACGCTGTCGCAGCTGCGTGAGGCGGAGCACGTGATTGGCCGCGGTGGTGAGGGACGGGCTGTGGAGGAGCCAATCAGAGAGGAGCAGAGGCGGGACCAGGAGGAGGAGGGGGCTGAGCCCCCCCGGGGCCCTGCCCCCACATTCGATTATTGGCAGGTGGGGGGGGGGGGGAGGGGGGGGGAGGGGCTTGGGGATGCCCCTCCCCCATTGGCTCCCCACACCCCTCCCCTTTGCCCCGCCCCCAATTCCCCTCCCCCATTGCCCCCCTTTGTTCCCCCGTTCACCCCCTGCCCCCCATCCCCCTCCCCCCTTTACCCTTCCCCCATCCTCCCATTTCCCGCTCTCTTTACCCCTCCCCCTTTATTCCACCCCCATCCCCCCCTTCTCATCTCCACATCACCCCCATTGACCCCCATTGACCCCCATTGACCCCCATTGACCCCCATTCCCCCATTGACCCCCATAACCCCATTGACCCCATTACCCCATCACCCCCATTCCCCCCCTTACCCCCATTCCCCCCATTCCCCCCATTGACCCACATCACCCCCATACTCCCATTCTCCCACTGACCCCCATTACCCCCCTTACCCCCATCACCCCTTGACCCCCATTCCCCCATCACCCCCATTCCCCCATTACCCCACTGAACCCCATTACCCCCATTCACCCATCACCCCCCTGACCCCCATCACCCCATCACCCTCATTCCCCCATCACCCCCATTCCCCCATTGACCCCCATTGACCCCCATAACCCCATTGACCCCCATTACCCCATTGACCCCCATTGACCCCCATTGACCCCCATTGACCCCCATTACCCCATTGACCCCCATTGACCCCCATTCCCCCATCACCCCCATTACCCCATTGACCCCCATTGACCCCCATTGACCCCCATTGACCCCCATTGACCCCCATTACCCCATTGACCCCCATTACCCCATTGACCCCCACTGACCCCATTGACCCCCATTGACCCCCACTGACCCCATTGACCCCCATTGACCCCCACTGACCCCACTGACCCCCATTGACCCCCACTGACCCCATTGACCCCCATTGACCCCCACTGACCCCACTGACCCCCATTGACCCCACTGACCCCATTGACCCCCATTGACCCCCACTGACCCCACTGACCCCCACTGACCCCACTGACCCCCATTGACCCCCACTGACCCCATTGACCCCCATTGACCCCCACTGACCCCACTGACCCCCACTGACCCCACTGACCCCCATTGACCCCCACTGACCCCATTGACCCCCATTGACCCCCACTGACCCCACTGACCCCCATTGACCCCCACTGACCCCCACTGACCCCCATTGACCCCCACTGACCCCATTGACCCCCATTGACCCCCACTGACCCCACTGACCCCCATTGACCCCCACTGACCCCCATTGACCCCCATTGACCCCCATCCCCCCCGTTCCCCCCCCAGCCGCTGGAGGCGCTTTGGGGTCAGAGGCAGCGGCTCCGGGAGCGGCTGCAGGAGGCGGAGCTGGAGCTGAGCCAGCGGCGGCTGGAGCTGGAGCGCGTCACGCAGGTGGGCGGGGCCTGAGCGGGGAGGGGGCGTGGCCGGAGCGGGGCGTGGGGGGGGGGGAGGGGCGGGGCCTGAGCGGGGAGGGGGCGTGGCCTGAAGGGGGGGGCGTGGTCGGGGGGCGGGGCCTGTGCGAGGAGGGGGCGTGGCGGGGGGCGTGGTCTTGGAGGAGGGGGGGCCTGAACGAGGAGGGGGCGTGGCCGGAGCGGGGGGGGGGGGCGCTGAGCGGGGAGGGGGCGTGGCCTGGTGGGGGGGGCGTGGCCTTGGAGGAGGGGCGGGGCCTGAGCGGGGAGGGGGCGTGGCCTGATGGGGGGCGTGGTGGGGGGGGAGGGCGGTGGTCTGGGAGGAGGGGCGGGGCCTGTGAGAGGAGGGGGCGGGGCCTGAGCGAGGAGGCGTGGTCCGAGGGGGGCGTGGCCTGAGCAAGGAGGGGGCGTGGTCTGGACGAGGAGAGGGCAGGGACTGATCGAGGAGGCGGAGCCTGATCGGGAAGGGGAAGGGGGGGCGTGGCCTGAGCGAGGAGGGGGCGGGGCAAAGGGGGCGGGGTTTAATCTCTTGTCCCCGCCCCCCCCCCCAGCGGCAGGAGCGGATCAAGGAGCGCCCGGCGCTGCTGGAGCTGGAGCGATTCGTGAGTGGGGGGGAAACCCCCTTGGGACCCACAGATACCCCATGGGACCCACAGATACCCCCTTGGGACCCACAGATACCCCCATGGGACCCACAGATACCTCCCATGGGACCCACAGATACCCCTTGGGACCCACAGATACCCCCATGGGACCCACAGATACCTCCCATGGGACCCACAGATACCCCTTGGGACCCACAGATACCCCATGGGACCCACAGATCCCCCTTGTGACCCACAGATACCCCATGGGACCCACAGAAACCCCCCATGGGACCCACAGATACCCCATGGGACCCACACATACCCCATGGGACCCACAGATACCCCATGGGACCCCAATGCCCCCATAGGGACCCACAGATACCCCCCATGGGACCCACAGATACCGCATGGGAACCACACATACCCCATGGGACTCCCCATGCCCCTGCCCCACAGAGACACCCCCATGTCCCCTGCCCCATAGAGACCCCCCCACGCCCCTTACCCCATAGAGACCCCCCCATGCCCCCTGCCCCATAGAGACTGCCCCATGCCTCAGCCCCATAGAGACCCCCCATGCCCCCTACCCCATAGAGACCCCCCATGCCCCCCATGTCCCCAGCCCCATAGAGACCCCCCCATGCCCCCCCCAGGAGCGCCGGGCGCTGGAGCGGAAGGCGGCGGAGCTGGAGGAGGAGCTGAAGGTGCCATTGGGGGGGGGGGGGGAGGGGTCCGGACCCATGGGACCCCCCCCCCCCCCCCCCCCCTGCCCCATGGATCCCCCCCTCCCCCCCCAGGCTTTGGCCGATCTCCGCGCTGACAACGAGCGGCTCAAGGACGAGAACGCGGCGCTCATCCGGGTCATCAGCCGGCTGGCCAAGTGACCGGAGCACCCCACAGCGACCCATAGAGAGACCCAGCACCCCACAGCGACCCACAGCGGGACCCATAGAGAGACCCAGCACCCCACAGCGACCCATAGAGAGACCCAGCACCCCACAGCGACCCACAGCGACCCATAGAGAGACCCATAGAGAGACCCACAGCGGGACCCAGCACCCCACAGAGACCCACAGCGGGACCCATAGAGAGACCCAGCACCCCACAGCGACCCACAGCGGGACCCATAGAGAGACCCAGCACCCCACAGCGACCCACAGCGGGACCCAGCACCCCACAGCAACCCACAGCGGGACCCATAGAGAGACCCAGCACCCCACAGCGACCCACAGCGGGACCCAGCACCCCACAGCAACCCACAGCGGGACCCATAGAGAGACCCACAGCGGGACCCAGCACCCCACAGCAACCCACAGCGGGACCCATAGAGAGACCCACAGCGGGACCCAGCACCCCACAGCGACCCATAGAGAGACCCATAGAGAGACCCACAGCGGGACCCAGCACCCCACAGCGACCCATAGAGAGACCCATAGAGAGACCCACAGCGGGACCCAGCACCCCACAGCAACCCATAGAGAGACCCATAGAGAGACCCATAGAGAGACCCACAGCAGGACCCAGCACCCCACAGTGGGACCCATAGAGAGACCCAGCACCCCACAGCGACCCACAGCGACCCATAGAGAGACCCATAGAGAGACCCATAGAGAGACCCAGCACCCCACAGAGACCCACAGCAGGACCCATAGAGAGACCCACAGAGAGACCCATAGAGAGACCCATAGAGAGACCCATAGAGAGACCCACAGCGGGACCCAGCACCCCACAAAGAGACCCACAGAGAGACCCATAGAGAGACCCACAGCGGGACCCAGCACCCCACAGCGACCCATAGAGAGACCCATAGAGAGACCCACAGAGAGACCCAGCACCCCACAGAGACCCACAGAGAGACCCATAGAGAGACCCACAGAGAGACCCACAACGAGACCCACAGCGAGACCCACAGCGAGACCCACAGTCCCATAGAGAGACCCACAGCCCCATAGAGACCCACAGAGAGACCCACAGCCCTATAGAGAGACCCACAGAGAGACCCACAGCCCCATAGAGAGACCCACAGCCCCATAGAGAGACCCACATTGCGACCCACAGCGAGACCCATAGAGAGACCCACAGTGGGACTCACAGCGAGACCCATAGAGAGACCCACAGTGGGACCCATAGAGAAACCCACAGCAAGACCCATAGAGAGACCCAGAGTGAGCCCACAATGGGACCCACAGCGAGACCCAGAGCGTGACCCACATCAAGACCCATAGAGTGACCCACATCAAGACCCATAGTGGGACCCACATCAAGACCCATAGCGGGACCCACATCAAGACCCATAGCGTGACCCAAATCAAGACCCATAGCGTGACCCACATCAAGACCCATAGCGTGACCCAAATCAAGACCCATAGCGTGACCCACATCAAGACCCATAGCGGGGACCCCCCCATTGCCAAACCAATGCCCCCCCCCCCCATAGAACCCCCTTCCCACCCCCCCCCTGGCTGCCAACCGCCCCCAGGGGGCGGAGCCAAACCCACCGTGGGGCTGCCCCATTGCACTGTGCACGGGGGGGGGGGTTGGCCCATAAAGGGGGCGTGGCCATGACGGGGTGGCCAATCAATGCTGCTTTGCCCTCCCCGAGTGGGCGGGGCTACCGCACGTCAGCCCCTCCCCCTCCCGCATGTTAACCAATGAGCTGCTTCCTCACCCCCTCCCATAGGGGGCGGGGCTTCGCCTGACCACGCCCCTCGCCAACACCTCCCCCCCCCCCCCCCCGCGAGGATTTTTGCATTAAAAATAAGGAAATAAATTAAATACAATATTCAAATTGGAAATTGTGCGGGATGGGGGGGGGGGAGGGAGGGGGGGAGGGGGGGGTGCCCCCCAAAGGACCCACATCCAGCTCCGACTGCCCCAAACCCACCTGAAACCCCATGGAACGACCCCCCCCCAATAATGGGCTGTATGATGGAATAATGGGGCTCTATGGGGCAATAATGGGGTTCTAGGAGGCAATAATGGGGCTCTGTGAGGCTATAATGGGGTTCTATGGGGCTCTAGGAGGTTATAATGGGGCTCTATGGGGCAATAATGGGGTTCTATGGGGCAATAATGGGGCTCTATGACACTATAAGGGAGTTCTATGAGGCTATAATGGGGCTCTATGGGGCAATAATGGGGGTCTATGGGGCAATAATGGGGTTCTATGGGGCAATAATGGGGCTCTATGGGGCTATAATGGGGCTCTATGACACTATAATGGAGTTCTATGGGGCAATAATGGGGCTCTATGAGGCTATAATGGGGCTCTACGGGGCAATAATGGGGTTCTATGGGGCAATAATGGGGCTCTATGAGGCTATAATGGGGCTCTATGGGGCAATAATGGATTTCTCTGGGGCAATAATGGGGCTCTGTGGGGCAATAATGGGGTTCTAGGAGGCAATAATGGGGTTCTATGGGGCAATAATGGGGCTCTGTGAGGCTATAATGGGGCTCTATGGGGCTATAATGGGGCTCTATGGGGCAATAATGGGGGTCTATGGGGCAATAATGGGGTTCTATGAGGCTATAATGGGGCTCTATGGGGCAATAATGAGGCTCTATGAGGCAATAATGGGGTTCTATGGGGCAATAATGGGGTTCTATGGGGCTATAATGGGGTTCTATGAGGCTATAATGGGGCTCTATGGGGCAATAATGGGGCTGTATGAGGCTATAATGGGGCTCTATGGGGCAATAATGGGGCTGTATGAGGCTATAATGGGGTTCTATGGGGCAATAATGGGGCTCTGTGAGGCTATAATGGGGCTCTATGGGGCAATAATGAGGCTCTATGACACTATAATGGAGTTCTATGGGGCAATAATGGGGCTCTATGGGGCTCTATGGGGCAATAATGGGGTTCTATGAGGCTATAATGGGGTTCTATGGGGCAATAATGGGGCTCTATGAGGTAATAATGGGTCTCTATGATGCAATAATAAGGCTCTATGAGGCAATAATGGGGTCTGGGAGGCTATAATGAGGCTCTATGGGGCAATAATGGGGCACTATGAGGGTATAATGGGGTCTATTAGGCAATAAAAGTGTTCTATCGGGTTATAATGGGGTCTATGATGCAATAATGGGGTTCTATGAGGCAATAATGGGGTCTATGATGCAATAATGGGGTCTATGATGCAATAATGGGGTTCTATGAGGCAATAATGGGGTTCTATGATGCAATAATGGGGTCTATGATGCAATAATGAGGCTCCATGAGGCCCACGCTGGGACACTGGGATGGGTGGGATGGAGAAGAATGGATGGGCTTGGAGCAACCTGGTCTAATGGAAGCTGTCCCCCCTGCCTCTTCATGCCGTGCTTTAATGGTGGGGCAATGATTGGACTTGATGCTCCTGAAAGTCTTTCACAAACTGGTTGATTCCCTGATTCCCAGCTCCCGCTTCCCACTGTTCCCTGCCCTCCATCCCTCATCCCCATCCCTGCGCACGGACCAGAAGAAGAGGTGGGCACGCAAAGCATCCTCTCTATGGGAAAATAAGGCAACTGTATTGAAGCTGAAGCCAACTTCAAGCGACGCCGCTCCTCAAGGCTTCTTCCCCCTTAGAGCCTGCAGCAGCTCCTGCACCCGACTGACAAATTCCACGAGCACCCGGTATGGGAAGGAGCAGATGTCACCGGTGCTCGAGGCCGTCGGAGCCGGCATCGTCTGCTGGATGGGCGCATGCGAGCCGTGCTGGTGGCTCCATGTCGGGGGCGTCGCGGAGGCTCCCGCGGAGTGGAACGTCCCCAGCTGGTGGAGGATCCACTCATGGAAGTGCCTTGTTGAGGTGTAGACCCCCGGTTGCTTGGCCCTGGCGCAGCCGCGGCCCCAGCTCGTCAGCCCCACAACCCAGAAAAAGTTGGCATGGTTGTCCCGGCACATGAGGGGACCGCCACTGTCACCCTATGGAGGAGAAACAGAGAGGGGATGAGGATGGGGATGGGTGGCCATGGCAACGCCTGAGGGGACCACCGCTGCCACCCTGTGGAGGAGAACGAGAGAGGATGGGGAGGGGTGGCCATGGCAACGCCTGAGGGGACAACTGCTGCCACCCTATGGAGGAGAACGGGAGAGGATGAGGATGGGGATAGGTCGCCATGGCAAAGCAGAGGGGACGACTGCTGCCACCCTATGGAGGAGAACGGGAGAGGATGAGGATGGGGATGGGTCGCTATGGCAATGCCGGAGGGGACCACTGCTGTTACCCTATGTGGATGGAAGGGTTCTCCTTCATCATTTGGGTGTGGAGAGGGACCTTCAGCATGGATTGGAGCCATAGGACAAGGGGTGATGGGTTCCCACTGGAACGAGGGAGTATGGGTTGGAGATAAGGAGAAATTGTTCCCTATGAGGGCGGTGGGACACTGGGATGGGTTGGATGGAGAAGGATGGATGGGGCTTGGAGCAACCTGCTCTAATGGAAGGCATCCTTGCCCCTTGCTTAGAACTGGATGCTTTAAGCTCCTTCCCAACCTAACCCATTCCATGAATCCATGCTCATGACATGGTTTAGTGGTGGAATCTCAATGCTCTTAAAGCTCCAACCTCTATGGTCCCTGCGCAGGGATGATGGAGCAGGAGCTGGATGCGCTTCCAAAGCTGGGATAAAGGGGGATGCAGAGCAAGGCCCTGCAGATGGGAGAGGAGAAGGGAGCCCCAGTGGCACATCCTTACCTGGCAGGTGTCGATGCCACCCTGCGGGTACCCAGCACACAGGTTGTGGCTCTTGATGGCCCCTCGGTACCATAGGCTGCTGTTGCAGACCTTGGCATCGATGAGGCGGACCTTGGCCTCCTGCAGGGCAGATGGGGACGATGCCCCTGCTGTGGGGACACAAAGGGGGTCAGGACTGGGGGGAGAAGGAACGGATATGGG